TTTTTTTGTATGAAAAAGGTGTATTCGTTCTTATCAAATTTGTTTTTATTAGTTTTGAAAAAGTGTAGTTGTCCGCGAGTCGATCACACTGTTGGGCGTAGGACTACCAATAATCTAAGAAGGTAAGTGTCAACTTCCGCTAGTCTTATGTCGGTGAATGATATTATTATCTACGGTTCACCGGGTCCGTGGGGGTGTTCCGATGTCGTAGGATGGAATATCATTCTGCTCTATCACCGGTGTGTCTTTGTCATCATCGCCCTAAGCCCCAAGACAAAACCGACCTACTTGCGACCTTGTTTGATGGTTTCACGTATAACAAAAGGCTAAACGTGGACACTTATGTATCAGACATAAGCATAAAAAAATGAACCAAGAAGCAAGGAAAAAAAAGAACAAAAATGAGGTGAGAGAGAGGAGACACCGATCCACCTAAAACACCGAAAAGACAAGATGAATCAGTTCCCAAAACTCATGACGAAAAGACTTGAAAAAGTATGGCCCAAGGTCCTTGAATCAATCCAAGATGTCATTTGGTCCTTGAATCAATCCAGAAAGATTTCATTTTCTCGCTCTATTAGAATTGGATCAACCCAAGGAGTGTCCTTTCTTCGAACGAGTCGAAACGGGCCCGAACCGACACAACGATCACCCACAAATGACCTCCCCTACATCGGTGTCAATCCGCGTCTAACCTCCAAAGACATCTTCCATAGACTCAATTTGACTCAGCTAAATGCTCTCCCAAATAAAAAAAACTCATAAATCTTCCAAACCCCACAAATCAAGCAAAAGGAAAGTGACCAAAGTGACCCGGGGGAAACGACCCGGGGGAAATCACCACTAGCATTTCCAAACCCATATCAAAATTAAGGTTTCCCAACTCCCAAATTAACCAATAGCCTCGTATATCAAATAAGTATAGAACCTTCCAATAAAGCCACATAAATGCTCACGGCCGGGGTCAATAGAGAAGAGGAAGCAGCCGCCAAGACTCTCGGCCAAGGCCACCAACGGAACAAGGAGCTCACGGCTAAGGCAGGAAACAGGGTCAAAAGAGGCTCACGACCAAGGCAACCCAAGGCAGAAAAAAGGCTTGCGGTCAAGGCAACCCAAGGCACAAGTCGAACTTGAATCAATTCCACGAGGATCTTTGATATACATAAGAGAGTACAAAATATAACCATGATTTTGGGATGACAATTTTGATCCACCAACAATCATCCAAGTAATTCAAGCCCAACAAGAAGAACCAAATCAAATTAAACAACCCTCAATAGGTCCACGGGTAGGAGTAGGAAACCACCCGACAACTCTCGAATAAGGACGACACAAACTACAAACCAGGCCTTCGGGTAAGGGCTTAAAAATGAGTCAAACCGAGCTCCTCAACTTAGGCCAAAAACCACAGCCAGCAAATGGCCGAAACTGAGTCCAGCACAAGCCAAAATCGAGCCCAGCAAGGGTCAAAGCCAAACCAAATGATCTACCAACAAGCTCACAGGTAGGACTAAGAAGAAACCAAATCAAGCCCCCAAGCTACCTCTCGGGTAGGAGCAGAATAAGACAAAACCGAGCCTCAAATAAGGGTTAAAGCGAATAAAACTGAACCCCCCCACAGCTCTTGAGCAGGGGCAGGAACAAACACCAAAAACAGGCTCTCGGGTAGGAGCTAAGGCCAGCAAACCAAACCCCCAAACAAAACCAAACTGAACTTTTCAAGGCCCATAAGTAAAGTTCGAGCAGTTAGGATAAAGCTTCAATAAAAACCAAAAGCCAAGTCTCAGCAGAACCCAACCTCCAACCCTTCCAAGGTGAGAACCGAGCTCTAGTAGAGACCAAACCCAAACTTTGAAGGCTAACAAATGAAACCATAATAGCAAATCTACACCCAGCCACCTTATAATGAAACCGAGCACCAACAGGGGTCAAAATCGAGCCTCTCAAAATCAGCAGGGAGCCCCAAAGCCTCAACGAAAATCAGAAAAGACCAAACTTCAATAAAACTTGACTTCTCATACCCCTAAGGTGAATACCAAGCCATTCAAGGGTTAAAGGATACCCACATGCATTTAAAGCATCAAAATACAAGGCCACGATATGTTTCAAGCAAGAACAACTATAGAAACCTTCCAAATCAAGGTGAATTTCTTCATAGCATATGTTTTGAGCAAAAAGAAACTGTGACATGTCAAAGCCAAGCCCTTCTCATGCATGAAAGGCCAAATAAATTCTCCAATATCTCATGCTAGGTAAGAATAAATGAGAGGCTTCATGATACATGTCCTAACATGCTTGCAAGAGGAACTAACATTATCTAAAAGCCGCATTTTAATCTTTCCAATTTGCTTCAAATAGAAAGAAAAGAGATGAGCTAATAACATGTCATATTTTCACCATCTTAAGCAAGTGATCAAACCTAACTCCTAGGACATGCCCACATTCCTATCTTTCACATGCTCAAGTAACAAATGTTTCAAAATATAAGTGCAATACTAGACTAGCATGCTATACCATCCACAGCACCAACCTCAAGGACTCGGCAGAGAGAAAACCAAAAAGGAGTAAAACACATAGGAAGGGGGGGGGGGGGGGGGGGGGAAAAAATTTTCTTACTGAGACCTCCCAAACTCCCTGTTGGAATGACAGAGTTTTCCCTCCCTTAGAGATTTTTTTTTTGGCTCTCTGAAAGGCTCTAAACCGAGCTATAATAAAACCAGAGAAGGAGAAGGAATGATTAAGAGGGTATAACAGAGGGATCGAGCGGGGCAGAGGATACGATCTGCCGCAGAGAGGATCGAATGCAGAAGGCAGAGGATGAAATATGAGGGATGGGCGTCTGCGAGGCCTGCCTCGCGTACGAGAGGCAAACGCTGGAACGCGTCTTTCCAACGGCACGAAGGAGCGGGCCAGGTAAAACCGTGCGAGCCAAAACTAGGGCAGGGCCCACGAGTGCGAGAGAAAGAAACGGGAGGGGGAAATAGATTTAGGTTACGAATTAATAAATGTTATTAATTATAATAACAATAATAATAAAATATTATTTATTATTATAATTAACACTTAAATGTGTATTTTTCCCTGGACGTATCGTCGCAGTGAAACAAACGTCTCCCCTAAGCAAAATCGACGTTCCGTTTTGCCATCCGGAGTCATTTGGATAACCCGTCGACGATCGGGACAAAAACGCGTCGCGACCTGAACCGCGTAAAAAACTCTGCTCGGGCTCAATCAATTAGGACGGCGAAGAGCACGAAGGCGCGAGATCAACGCGTACAGTTAATTCTAAGGCCAACAATCTTATAGGGATTCTCCTTGAGCTCCCTCACTGTAGCCCCACCTACTAAGTGCTAGATGTCAAAAACCACCATGCGGAACGTCAAGTCGAGCTAAGAAAAGCTCAGAACTTCTAACGGGAAGGACTCCTTTACTAGTTTTCAAGAAATAGTCGACAGGAAGATCCTATGTCTAGACCCTAGGCTATTAAAAAAAAGAGAGATTAGACCTCCGCCAAAAGTGAGGTCAACACGCTTAAAATCAAAGGCTCTGCCAGCCATAAGTTGAAAGATTAGCCATTAATGCTCCGTCAGCTCAGCCATAACCATATCCAAATCTTTGGCATAATTAAATTTAATAGGGAAAAAAATTCAGCAAGAGAAATAGATTTGTATGTACCTGCGCCACTTTTGCCCATGATACCACAATCTCATCCTGGATTGACTCTGTGTGCGGCCCACAATGAGGGGAATCAAGGAGGGGAGTTTGTAGCTGGACAAAATATTACATCAGGACTCCGCACGTACGGGATGGGTTGTGGTATCATTGGCAGAAGTGCCGCAGTTTTTGCGGGGATATGCCTCCATTCATAAACCATAGGCTACTAAATATATTTTCTGTTTAGCGAGATAGCAATAAAATCTGGGATGATATATTCAATATTAATTTTAATACTAATCCTGGCAAAGGTGAGCCGGGTATCCTTGGTTGTTAGGGGATCGACAACTAGTGGAATTTTGATTTTGCTGGCAATTTCCAAAATGCCATTAATGGTTGATTAAAAAACTTAACCCAAATAGGGACTTCCTTGAAGTTTTCTTTGATATACTTAAAAGTAAGAGCCCATTTTTTAGAGATGAAAGATCTGCCATTGATTAACCAAGCTCCGCCAGCCATAAGATTGAAAAGCTTAACCCAAATAGGGACCTCCTTGAAGTCTTTCTTCGATGCACTTAAAATTAAAAAGCTCTGCCAGCCATAAGTTGAAAGATTAGCCATTAATGAACCATGCTCCGTCAGCCATAACCATATCCAAATCTTTGGCATAATTAAATTTAATAGGAAAAAGCATTCATCAAGAGAAATAAATTCGATTGTACCTCGAAGCAACAAAAGTTGGCTAATGTTTTGAAGAAGATTGTTATAGAAAGGTCTCTTACGCGGAGCATGACTAACCAATGTGAGATTCCACACAAGTAGCTTACCCCGGGAACTCTACAAATCTACAAATTTGTACAAGAAGCTTATGCTCTATTGGTAGGAAAATATTATTTTGTAAGCCTCCTTCCACACAAGTATACCTCTGCATACATATTTATAAATTTGTACAATTCTATATGACCGTGTATTGAAGGAAAGGTCCCCAACATTCTAGTATATTTTACCCAAGGAATTACAAACTTTTCCATCAGATTTCAACCATAGAGCTCTTGTCCTATTGGTAGGAAAATATTATTTTAATAGCTTTATCTAGACATGGTTTGCCGTCATTTGTGTTCATTCCAAACAGTTCTGGTATTCCTCACCATTTTTTTTAAAACTCAAACCTTTATGTGCCCAGAATTGAACTTAGTATTTTATGTTTTGAGATGAAATCTCAACCGTCCAATTTATCCATGATTCTCTTCCAATTTATAAGTTCAACCAAAACAAAATTCAAAATTTCTTTTTTTTTTTTTTTTTTGTTACATTCTGTAATCTTATGACCACATTATTTGGCGCAGTATGGGCTGAACCCAAACCAATTAACGTACAATGTGGACCCAAAGACTGCACCGCACCAACAGCAGCAGAGTTGATGGAATGCCATTCTCTATTTAGCAGGTTTAACTATTGATTCGCTTGTAATATATGCCTTTGTAATATATTATATATATGTTCGTTGGAATGACATTATTGTGGCTTCTTGTAAATACTGCACTCTTTGTACGCATTTATTTTATTTCTGCATGTTTGTTGAATTGGTTTGGTTTGTTGTCCTGTTGAACAAAGAATCATTAATGTGTTTGTTGAAGCCATTGTTGAATGATTGATTCTTTTGAGGTTGTTGGCTTTTGCTTAGCTTCTACAGAGTTCTGCATCAATGGCTGCCGAGCTTGGCTGTGTCAGTCTTAGGACCAGTGTGAGTCTTAAGTCTTAACTATCTGGGTCTGCTTTTGGACCACTTAGCACCCTGCCTGGTCTTTCTGACATGGTTTGTCTAGTGCATTATTTTGAGATATAAAAAATCAGTTAAATATTGGGAAATTTACATTCAAACCACATAATTCTTATGTATTTACATATCCAACATTATGATTTTCATTTTTATATTTATAGTGCTTGAAAATGTGTACTTGTGAAGGTTTAGTTGTACCACAATTTTTATGACAACACTTGAAAAGTTTGATATTTATATTTATAGCATCCTGGTGTTATAAATTTATGGTATTTATTTTTTAGAAAGTTAAAAAGAGCACTTTTTATATGATTTTAAAGATTTCAATGTTATGAATGTAAATATGAAAATTTAGGTGTTAGATATGTAAATACAAAAGAGTATTGTGGTATCCAAGAAAATTATTCGGATTGGCGCCCACCAATCAGTACTTTAAAAAGTTACTCTTTATACCATCTTGCCCATAGAATTATATTTTTATTCCGCGTTATAAAATAATTGACGTTGGTCAACTACTTTCAAGTGCCTTTTATGCTTAAACATAAGATATTATTTTTTTAATTAATATTTATTAAAGTAATGTGCCTCAGTTTATGAGAGCAAAAACCTTATCGTGCTCCGGAAGGACATAAAATAATATGATTTGGTAATTTTTTCTTTACATATATGTAGGGATGTAAACGAATCGAACACGAACGAACAGAGCTTGTGTTCGTGTTGATTTGTTTGAAATTTAGTTTATTTGAAATAAGCTCATGTATGAAATTATTTGTGAAGTCATTGTTCGTGTTCGTTTCTTAACGAACGAGCCAAACACGAGTTGTTCGCGAATATAAATATATAATATCTATATTAGTATATTACTAATATAGTATATTAATATATTTTTATTATTATTTTGTTATATATTATAATTTATAAAATTTAATTTTTTAAAATATTAGAAATTTTTTATATATAATTATTTTAAATTATTTTATATTTTGAACACGAATGAAAGTATCACTGTTCGTGTTTGGTTTGTTTAACTAAGTAAACAAAAAAATTTTGTTCACGTTCGTCTCGTTTACTTATCGAACGAACCGAACACGAACTCATTGATGAACTGAACACGAACTGTTCGCGCACAACGATCTTTTTTGACAGCCCTACATACATGTACCACAATTCTTATGTATCGATCGCACATCTAAAATTTCATATTTAGACACGCAACATGATAAAAAAAAATGAGGTGCCATATATAATTTCATAAAAATTTTGTGTCAAATCTAAATTTTCCTTCATATTTATATATATTTTGTTTCACAAGACGTTTTTTATTCAGATCCGAACAACTTATTTTGGCGTAGCATTGTGGCAATTTTTTAAGGCAACTTGAGTCCCTTAGCATCTAATAATTGATCCAACTAATTGTTCATCCCACAAATAAAATAAAGGGAAGCAATCTCTTATTTTGGATTAAATATCTTGCAGAAGAGATGAAATGTCCTATTTTATAATATCATAATAAATTTTCATATTACTCCACAAATATAGATTTAGGTGCATTACCCAATTCCAATATATTTATATATCTAACATGATTTAAAGTTTAGATGTTAGATATGTAAATAAATAGAAGTTGAGTGGTATAAATGTAAATCCTAAACAAAATTTAATAAAGAGCTTGTACTAATCATTGGCAAATCAAAGTAGTTCATCAAATCATCACACAACAACAGCTATATAGCTTCTTATATACATAAAGAACCAAAGCAATGTTAAGATAATCCAAGAATAAAACGCCAACTAATACACATGCATTACAGCTAGACAAATAAATATAAGATACTATAAACTCAAGTCTAATTTTTTTGCTTCTGCACCTTTCCATCACCTCAATTATATGGCAATACTAATAAGAGCCAAATTATCACTATACAAAAAGACAAAAAAAGGGAGAAAAAAAATGAAAAAACTCAGCACAAACAGCACCCAATAAGATCATCCAATGCATCATCAAACAACTCCTGAAGCATCTTTTCACCAATCTCTTTGCTAAACTCATCCACTTCCAACCACATGGATTCAGCCAATCCACTCCTCATCATCTCTTTCTTCACCAAATTATCAACAAGCGTTTTATTATTCTCAGCTGACATAAGATTTTCTTCCTCAGACAAGCATTCCTTCAAACGGCACAAAACCGCAAATTTCACTGTAGGATTTGGTCTAAGCTGAGCCATGCTTCCTGTTGAAGACCAAGGATTTGTGTGGACTAAATTGTAATATCCAATTTCTTTGAGGGACTCACTGACAAAATCGAATAGCAGCTTCTGATTTGAGAGCTTCTCCCTGTTTTTGGCTTCTTTTCCGTCCCTTTCCAACAAGTCATGAAGCAGAGTTGGATCTAATGGAGAATCCAGAGAGTGTGATCTGGCTAACACTGTGTTGGAGTTCTCATCAGCTAACTTTGAAGTTGAAATTATCTTCTGGATGAAATCAAGTTGTTCCTGGTCTTTATCTTCTTTGGAGAAAAGATTGGAAAGCTTCAAGGAGTTTGGGGCTGTACTTGCAGGGTGTCCTTGCTCGGAATAAGTTGAACGGCGAACCGAAGCGATGAGCGGGGGTCTGGATGGCGATTCTGCACGTGCGGAAGAAGGTGAGGGAGTTTAATGGTGGAAGGATATGGAATCTGTAAATTAAAAGCTCAGAGTAATGTATGAATGCTAACCGGCACGGCTGGTGGTGGAAATTTGACAAGAGTTGGAGATGTTTATAGAAATTTCTTCTTGGAATGGTTTTTCTAGGACTGAAATTGGACTATGTTGATTGAAATCCTCTCTGGAGATTTCAGATTTCCATAGTTTCTCTATAGAACGAATGGCCTGAAAAAAATATAAAAAAATACTTCTTCAAAGAATCATTGATGGAGTAATGGTTAATGTAAAAGAAGGAAAAACAAGGATGACAAGAGTCATGCAAATGAGAAGATAAAAAGAAGTTCAAGCAATAATAATAATAATAATAATAATAATAAAACCCGAAGGCTTGTTTATGAAAACAAAGGCTTTAACAGAAAACAGGCATAAATTCTAAAATTTAAGGAGATCTCTCACCTTGAAGGAGAGATTCCCATGCCTTTCTGTACGATTGACTGAAACAGGAGATGAGAACTTGACCAAATTTTCCTCCGAAATTTTCCCATCATGAGAAGATTTTGATAGATTATCATCTTCTATAGATGAAGAACTAGCTGCATGAAGTCTACCATCAGAGCTCACTGAATTTGAAAGTTTAGGCTTCTCGTTAACCAATTTCTTCATCCTTGAGAAGAACATACTTGAAACTTTGTCCTTAAAAGATTTGCCTGAACCTGTGCAAGAAATTTCTTCATTCACCCTAATGTTTACATTGCATGAATCTGGATGACAGTCCTCACATGTCCCTGCAAAGTTTGATTCCTGTTCTTCACCAAGCGAAATCCTAGGCGAAATGGAAAGCTTATCAACCACTTTTTCCTCTTTCTTCACCTCAGGAATGGCGAGTATCTCGCCCAAGGTACTTGAGCTCCTTTTGAGATCTGCTTCTAACACCCTTCTTTCTACGAGTCTTTTCCCGGCTTCATGTCTCACTGATAACTCAGCTGAGTGGGATTGAGAACTACAGGATTTCACAGATCCTGGTTTGACTTCATGGACCCAAGAATTCTGTGAAGTTGGAGCCATATTAGTTTTTGTTTCATGAAGCACTGGAGGACTACGCCTTAGAACCACAATCTTTGTGGGCTCAGATAAAGTTTCAGGTTTGGGAATAAACAAGCTAGAGCTCCAGCCTTGTACATCAATGTTTTTCATGTCCTCTTCACTGCACCTGTATCGGTTTCTCCTCATGGATTTCTCTTGATCTGAATGGAATAATGAGGCTGGCTTCAAAATAGTGATGCTCTTGGATTGAGATCCCAACGAAATAATTTGCTGGATTTCTCTAAGTTGCTCAGAGAACACAGAGTTTGGCTCTTCAAGAAATCTGAGAAATAAATCTCTATTCGAACTAAGAACCTCAAGAGCATCCTTGAACTCTTTTGACTGTATAAGCCTATTACTTGTAGCCAGACGCTTTGCCAAAATGAACTTTTGGTGCACGAGAGCCATTCTCTTCTCCATCAAATTTTCATAGCAGACTTCATTTTGCAGATTATGATTCTTAATTTGAACTTTTGATGAAAGTTGCTGTTTTGCTTCATACAAATCCTTACATTTCTCGTGCATGCAAAGTTCGCTCACACAGTTCATAGGGTGATTAGAGGAACCATCGTCCCGCTGCCAATAATCTTGGAGAGCTCTACTTAGAAAGTCATCTGAATCAATCTCCTGGGGATTTCTTTTCGAAGTCTGAACTTTTTGTTGAATTGGCAGTTTACTCAAGCCCATTAATTTCGCAACAACACTAGAATCAAATGGACTAGACATCTCTTGAGCTATTAACATCTTAAGGACTCTCAACTACTTCTTGCCACTAATCTTCCAAGGCTTAATAGCTGCCTACCAACAAATTATGTAAAGAAAATATATAAAGCATCTTTAGATAACATTTTGAAGTTCTGAACTAAAATAAATGTGCAGCTAAATGAGAATAAGGTATATAAATTGTTTTCTTTCATGTCATTAACCTGAACTGTGAAAGAACTGGCATATTTTCGATTTTGTTACAACTGATACAAAAAAGGAGTGATTTGCCTCCATATGTCCAGTTAGCAACATAAAAGGGGCTTTTTATTTGCATGAACATACTTTGTCATTGAAGTAAACCAACAACAAAATAAATGCAGCAAATTTTGCATAATATACTTTGTAACAAATTATAAATAGAATGGACCCAAATGTTAAGTAAGAACATTTATGTTAGCTTAACTAAAATACTTGAAATTTATTTTGAATGTAATATTTTCACTTGATAAAGACTTTAGAACAAATAGCATAGTCACATAGTTGCTTAACATGGTATAATTGAGTGAAAGAATTACAGTCTAAAGAATATTTTGCTCTGAAATCATACTACCACACTGCTCAAGAACCTCCAAATTAAAATAAAATTATATTATCTACATAATAGGGGGGCTTAGTAGTATAAAAAAAAACCAAAACTTTTTCAATTTAACAAATCTAATCGTCGCATTAGCTTATTTTGTAGATTTGAATTTAAATATAGATGAAAAGAATAAGGAACAAAGAAAAATGGGAAGAAAAGATTGAATAACAAAGACCATATGTTGAATCCACAAGAAGTTTTTTCAGTAGAAAATATAATATTTTGCTTGAAAAGAATGAAAAAAAACACAATCAACTTTGTTCTAACCGCACTAATGATGAAATCAATGGGTTTTTACATACATAACACCCAATTCTTCTGCATTTACTTATCTCGCACCCAATCTTTGATTTTTACACCCTAAGCACCCTAACCTATGTATGAAAAGGTGGAAATAGTATAATCCACGTTTTCATACATAGATTAAGGTGAGATCAATGTTTGGGTGTGAGATATAAGTAAATACATAAGAATTTGGTGCTATGTATGCTAGTTTCCGTAAAATCAAACCATAAATCTTCCGTGTATGGCTCAAATTCATGACTAGAAAAATAACCTTCAACAACCATTATGCCACTAATCCTTTCACAAAATTCAGCAAATTGAACAACTTGAGGAATCATCATTGGTTGTCTTCGTTGGTATTTTTCTCAAGTTGTTTGGCTACAGACAGGATTTAGCGTTAGTGGGATTTAGTAAATCCACCTCCTTGTTGGATTTATTAAATTCGGATTTAACATGAATCTAAAACAAAATTCGAACCTCAAATCTGAAATTTTATAAATCCATGGAAATCGCTCTTTTTTATGTTTGGCTGGATTTAATAAAACTAGACCATAAATACTATTAATACGGCGCTACCAAACACCCCCTTAAATTTGCTAAATTTAGCAAACTGTAAAGCTTCGTTTAGGAATAATGCTCTAGAGGCAGAAAGTACACAAAATTATACCGAAAGCAAAGTCAGGTTTTGATCGGAGAACATGAAAATAATAATTTCAACAAATATCGTATAACTCATAAAAACAATCCTTGAAAAATACACACCTCTGCAGAAGCCTGGGGATGACAAAGCTAAATAACTTTTCAGAAGTTTAAATAACAGAGAAAAAGGCCAGCTTTCCATAGAGAAAGATAGACATAGAAGAAACATTCTTATTCCCAAGTGAACAAGTCTACAAGGCAGAATCACTAGCGAAGCTACTTAGCACAAAATTTCTCACTCAGAAAATCAAATTTATCCACAAAACACATCGGATTCCTAGAACAAAGAGGAAAATGCAATCCCAAAAACTGAAATTCATGCATTCAAATCACAATATCCATATCCAACTCTAACAAACGTGCTCCAGTAATCGCCATTGGCGAAAAGCAACAAGCTACATGAAAGAGGTAGGCCAACCCGCAATAAGCACCTTTCAATCTTTACTTCTAGATAGAGAGAGAGAGAGAGAGATTTCAGCCATGTACCATTAGCTACGCTTCAAATCCCAAACGCCGTGTGAGACAGGGATCTGGTTGTCGCCGGAGATAGGCACAGCTCGTCAAAGGGCCGGTTGTTTTTAGTTTTTGAACAGACTCCCATCGCCATATCAGTGGGCGAGACGGAACCACAGGGGCGCTGTGCTGCAGCTTTTAAAACGAACTAAAACAAACACAGAGCAGACGAGACGGATTTCCATTTCAGAGTTTAAAATTTTAAAAACTTTTTACAGTGCAAAAATTACATTTTTAGCTGTTCATGAAGTCTGTGTTTGGGTCACATGACATTGAGTAGAAAGTTCGAAATTTTTATCATAAAAAATCAATTTTTATATATATATATATTAGCGAGTCTTTGTATTGTTTTAAAATTATGGGGCATGTGCAATGCTCTATTGGGGATACATGAAGATCAAATAAATTATTATTTTAGACTATTTTTTATATTATTACTATGGAACTCTTTTGTATTTACAAAAGTGCTCAAATTTAAACAATTGAATGCACAAAGTAATTTGACTTCGATGTCCTATAATAGGTAGAATTGGGCAAATATCACGATTATTTATTTTATCAAATAAATATATTTGAAAATTTGTTTGGGACTAATATATCTATGTTGTTTAACAAATAATTAGAACATTGTTGAAGAGTTACAAAACCTTTCATACGGGATCATTGAGTCTTTATTGTGTAGTAGATTTTGTCTTTCTAGCATGAATATTTGAGTTGTATACTTGTACTGTTACTTTATGAAACGATCTCTCTTCATTTATGATATTTATGAGGTTCAATAATGTTATTCATTTGGTTTATTTAAGGTTGAATACAATGTTCACATTTTAAATAGTAAAACCAAAACCTCTGTAAATAATTAAATTATCATTGAAAAAGGATATAAGTATGTTCGAATAATAATTGAAGCATAATCAAACGAAAATCAATCATGATCTAAAATGATTCAATGATAGTATAAGCATTCTTCAACAATTGTTTAAAGTATCTTTGAATAATGATCAAATAATGATTGAGCATAGATTAATCATGATCGAAGAAGAGTAGATTATTGTTTGAAGATGATTTAATCATTATTCGAAGATGTACAAATTATTATTTCATCATTATTTAATCATTATTTGAAGGATTTTTAAATATTATTCAATCTTTATTCGAAGATGATTTGACTATAGTGACTATTATTTAATTCTTATTCAAAGACGCTTCAGTTAAAGTTTGTTCGGTCATTATCCAAACATTCTTCAATGATGATTTGATCCTAATGGTCATAAATGAATGTTGCGTGTATATTCCTCAATGGTTTTTTGCCTCTTTGATTTGTGAATTATAAGGTATACCTGATTTGACATAAAATCATAAAGTTCTCTACAAGCTAAGGTTCATTGAATTCATCCCCTTAGACAAACATTCACTCTGGGTATGCAAGGTTACTTTAGAGGATGCTACTCTTGGATGCCAACAAGGATCCTTCTTTCATGTTCAGTTGAATACTTCCGCTAACTAATTAGCACAAGCATCATAACAACTTGGAATGAGGAAATCGTTAAATCATAATTGAGTTCATGATTTGTGTGAAATTTGTTACATATTTATTATATTTTTTTTCTACATTTTATTTTGCTATTTGTATCATATTATGCTTTTTGCTATATTTTTTATGTTAATTGTGGGTTACAAGCCTTGAAACTAGCAAAATAATTAAATTTGAAACTTAGCCTATAGCACTTTGGTCCCACTTTAAGTGGCATCAAGATGCCACACTTGAAGAACTTTGGCACAATCAAGCAACCCATGCCACTCCATATACAAAGAAAGTGAAACCTTGGTGCGACCTTTAGTGGCACTTGGGCACCTCCCATGTGTGGCAATAAGCAAGAATCCAAACGAGCAAGGGAAACCAAGGTGCCGCTTTGAAGGCGCTCCGGTGCTACCGATATGTGACACAGCTACGCCACTTATAGCATGGCTATGCCACTATGGCACAAGTGCACCACTAACATGGTGTGGGTACGTCGTCCCTATTGCCTTCCATGAAAGTCACAGGCTAAGAGCAGAGAACCTTTGCACCACTTCAGAGAAATCTTATGCTTACATCAGAATGAACGACACCGAGTGAGGGAGACTTCAGCGGTCCTAAGAGGAAATCTGGCACTGATAAACTTACGTAAGGAGTTACGATAGTTCTCTATCAGTGTTATGATTCATGACTACAAAAGAAATTATTTTGAATGAATCCTGACACTTCCAATAATTTTTTTTCTTTAAAATGCTCGACCTTTGGAGTGACACTGAGGGAAGAATGGAAACACTAGGAGGGAGTCCTAGAGAACACTTTTAGCCATCAACATGCTCCGGAGAAGGGCTCCTCAGAAGAAAGTGTGAGTGCATGTGTGTGGGTTCTCCCGAGAGAAACAAGTGTGTGACTATACACGAAGTAGGTAAAAAATAATAAATTTGCACCTTAAGTTCAAGTAATTTAAGGAAGGACATCTGTAGGATTATTCTAACTTTGTCAGCTTTCGATTTTGCAATGAAATTTATGCTTTTTTCATCTTTAATGTGTAGGACTTAAACTTTTTTCTATGCTAAATTGGATTTTATCCAAATTGATAAAATATTTGTTATGTGATTGCACATTAATTTGATTATAAGTTGATATTTTAACCTTTTGAATTTAATTTGCTCCTAAACTAATCACTTAAGATGTTAAAATGAGTTCCAAATAGTACTATAGAAGTTATGTTAACCTACACTTCTTCAGGAGAATAGAAATATTGTTGTTATGATGGGGCAATCGTATAGTAAAATTTACATAAATTGGAGTTTTTGCATGGTTAAATGACTAATTGTAAAATGAAGCCCCATTTTCTTATGACCACCAAGAGGGGTTGTTTTTAACTATTGTTTCTTATTGTCAACAACATTATAGTCACTTAGACATATCTGATTTGCATCGGATAAATTTAAGGGAGGTTTTTTTATCACTTATTCAAACTCATGATTAGTTATAGGATTTATTTTTTACAAAATTTAGATTAGAAATTTTAAAATTACTAAATTTTGAACCTTCAGGCTAGACTCAAAACTATTAGACTAAAGTTTTTTGAACTTTGGGAGTTCATTTGTTTCTTGTGGGATCAATACACGGACTCAATTTCATATATTAATGGATAGTGCATATACTTGTGTGTATCGTTAGTGTTTTGCAATGTTTAATTCATATCAAGTTTTTTGCGTCATTACAAAGGAATGATATCTAATTTATAATTTTAGGAAGATCATAATTAAACTGTTAGGGTTTAAAGCTGAAAATAATTGTCATACATTTTCAATAGCTTATTTGATATTTTCTATGTTAGAAAATCTAATATATATATATATATATATATATGTCTCATGACGATGAGAGATACATTCTTCATATTCCTTTTTTTTACTTCATTTTTTGTGAATATTGTTTGTGTGTTATGTTTATTGCTAGTTTAGGGTCTCTCACCTGCTAGTCTAGGCTTGTTTACCCACAACTAGACTAGTTGAACTTGTGTCATATGACCCTGAATTAGAGAAAATTGTAAAAAAAATTTAAATAAAAAACTTAGAATGCTCAAAAATAATTTAGGAAAAATGGAAAACTCACCCCAGAACGAACACCCCAAGCCTTTTAGTAAATTTGCCAACCCCATGATAGATGAAATTCATAGGAGTGTCAATAATCCTATCATTTAAGTTGGCACCTTTGAACTTAAACCGGCTATTATTAAATGCATCAAAAAAAATTAATTCGAAGGTTCACCTGTAGATGACTATAATCTTCATATAACTAGTTTCCTAGAGTTATGTGCAAACTTCAGATATATTGGTGTCTCCAATAATACTATTAAGTTAGTTTGTTTTCATTCCCTTTTAAGGATAAAGCTAAGATTTAGTTGAATCATGTAGCCCCAAAATCTATAGCTACTTTGAATGATCTAGCATAGAAATTCCTAGCAAAACATTTCCCACCCTTTGCAAAACTTAAGAATGATATCACATTCTTTACCCACTTAGAGGGAGAAATTTGACATAGAGCGACTGTTAAATTTCAAGTATTATCAAGAGTTGTTTGCATTAGCAGCTTGACATCTTATAATGTCCTCCATGTTCTCTTCTTTTGTCAAGCACATATGATAAAAATACCAAATATTAATACAAAAAAGAAAAAAGTAGGGATCAAGTCAAAGAGATGGATAAATAAAATCTCAAGTGAGCCAAGTTAAAACTAAATGAGGATTAATTAACAATAAAGTTCAATTATTCCTTACGAAGTGAGATATTTTAACTTTTGTTTGGTAATAGAATCTTGTAGCTATAATGTATTATTTTATATAAAATGAAGCCAAAGTTACTCCCATGGTGATGGATGACCTGCTTTACCTACTTCCTATTTAGCCTGCTCCACAATATTTTAAATTCATGAAAGATATGCATATCCACTGTAAATTGCACATTAATTTCATAAGTAACCCTCCAACTTCATTGCTTTTTTATTTCCTTTGGAAGTCAAAGGCAATATCACAATCAAGATTTTGTCTATATTTGAAAATAAATTAAAACTTCAATTTTTACTTATATATACCATCTTACCTATGCTCGAAAAAGTGTGTATATTTTATGTAACATGAAAGATTTGTGCGGTATAAATGTAAAAAAAAGCAACGTTTATATGTTAGATATGTAAATACATAGGAATTGGGTGGTCTGTATGCAAATATATGTATATAAGTTTCTGAATAGAGAAGATAACACAAAAGAAACAAGTAGTGCAGGAAAGCAGAAACGTGTAAACCAGCTTATAATGATTTAGCACATGTCCATGTGAACTCCCAAATTCCTTCTTGAAATTTCCGTTAGAACTCTCAGTTTCAAAATCACTTTTACAGCTCCAAATCACTTTTAGAGAGTGGACTGTCGCAAGCTAGCTTTGTGGAAACCCAAACAGTAACTATTCCCAACATGTACAATAAGAAATATACAATCATAACTAATCTGATGGTGAACAAATTCAGAATAATGTTCAGAGGAGGACATGTTAAAAGGAATGTTTGGTTGATTTTGAAAAGAATAAATAAATGAAGTTATAAAAGTAAAATTTTGCAAAAAAAAAACTATCTATTTGAGTTTTAGGAGTATATAAAA